GATCATAACGTGTGGTTCGGAAACAGAAACTATTGTTTGATTCCCGGAGTGTTTAGAAATCGAATCGCGAAGCAACGAGAGCAAAAATTAACGAATTGAATTATCACATTTGAGTCTGACTGTCCGGCATTGATGGAGAAACGTTCGTCAAAAATTGACCGTTTCGCGTAGTCTTACCCCAAGTGTAGTATTAGTAAATATATGTTTTAGTGTCGTCTGTTTGTCTTCTATGTATGTAAGTAAATGTACTGTAAAGAGTGTTTAGTTGAGCCAATCTGTCCATATTGAATGATTAATCATGTTTTCTTACAGCATTCATGTTTCAGTACGTTAGCCTAGTCACATGTTTCAAATTTAGTATCATTTATTTTTAATAAGCAAAGCATTTGTAGGTCTTACCTAGATTAAATATTTGAGAGAGAGATTTATATCAATTCCATTTTATATTGTAATTTTTATATCTAATTTCATTTTTAATATTTTCAGTCAAAGTTGTATCATCATCACAAATTTTGTTCTTTTGCAAACTATATATATTTTAATTGACATCACTTCCTGAGTATGTTTTTTGAACCCAGTGACAAGACCTGTTTATACACTGATTATTTACCTATTTTGCCTGAAGGTCTTGTGGTTTGAATTAATACTTGATGCGCATCTCGCCGCTCATAGAGTATCTTCCTAAACACTACTACTACTATGTACATATTTACACTATATTTCCCAATCACTAACCGGTCACATTCGTGGCCACGGTTGCCCGGCGACGGCGACACGAGCGGCGGGGTACATTTCGTTCCGCACTGTTGACATGATGGACTTGTACTGGATCTGAGTGGTTGACAGTGACAGTGTTATGATCAGGGGATGTAGTCATTGTTTGTTTGCTTGTTATGTTGTTTCAAGCCACTCATCAAAACACAAAAGGACAACAATCCAATAAGACCAGTTATAAATGCCATACCCTCGGCATCCTATAAGATCGCCAAGTATGTTAACACCTTAATAAAAAATGGCATAACAAACACATCTCCAGTGTCATGTAAAAACACGAAGGACTTCATCCAGAAAATATCTGAAATTAAAATACAAGATAGATACACGCTTGCAACAATAGTTGTAGACAATATGTACCGAACACATACCAAGAAAAGAAGTCATCGAGATACTCAAAAAAAGACTTACCAACTGTGAAAATTTTGATGAAGAAGAAATAAATGATATTATTAAAATTACAACAACAATAACAGAACAAAACTATTTATCTTCTATAATATTAAAACGAAACAGTGTTTTTTTATTTCACGATTCTGAATCAACCACTCGATGGATTTTCATGATTTTTGTGTTGAAAGAAAGATAATTTTGAGAACTAGGGAATGTCAAAGCCATAATTTTAGTTAAGGGTCCCAGTTTTTTAGAAATTAAGTTTTAATTTTTAAAAAGTCTAGCAGCCGACGCTAAGATTCTAAACTAGCTTTTGGCATAAAATAATTTGCTAACATAACAGCTGTAAATATTCAGCTTTTGTATCACAAATTCAGCATTTGGATAAAAATGTAAAGACATACTTAGGATTGACTTATTTATACTATGTGTAATGCTAATAATTGATACGTTCAATTCTTCTGTAAGAGGATGGCAGATTAATTAAATATACACAGTAAAATACTAGGATGTTCAAATGATTTTTTAAAGCAATCTTTGTAATCTTCGATTTGTTTTAGAGCAATATAATTTGTTTTAACTAACAGCTGGTTAAAATATAAACTATGGAACTATGAGGTTATTTTATTTTTGTCGTTGATTATAGGAAATAAGTAAGATTAGTAGAGATAATTAGACCACAGTTTAAACCACAGTTTTAACCAAAATTTATTAAACCACAGTACAAATCTAGGCTCTGTACGTGAGTCTTAATAAAAAAGGATAAATTCAAATTATTTTACTGCTCCACTTTTCAAGGAAAGATTAGAAAAATAACAATGTTTACATGTTTTAATTCTTCATGGTAGCTTTTTGTTTACAATTAATGTTTGTCTTCTTTAACTTTGTTTGGATTAGGCCCGGAAATATTGATGTCATAAAAAGGCAAGAATAATCAAGAGGCCTACTGTGAATTTTATTGGATACTATCGTTTTATTTTAGGTCGTTTCTATTCAGACCTTCTGTGAATTGTGTATAGTAGTTGTATTGCGGTGATACAGTAATAATTATGGAAGAGGCAGATATGCTATGGAAGGTGGTGTCGTTGAGTAGGTCTATACACTTCTCACTGTCACTATTATGTTTTATCTATGCTATTACTCTCTCTACTGTAGGCTACTTATAATCAGTGTGCGTCTGTGCGAATCGGCTGCAAATCTCACTTCAACGCTTTTCACATCGTAAAAATTGCAGAATTGCTGTTTTATTGTAAAATTATCGGATTTAAAATGCATATCGTATAGGCCTATGATGGAATAAAAACATATTTGGTCACACAACATTTGTTTACAAGATGATTTTTCACATTAAAACTGCAAGAAACTTTGTCTTTATATGTGTAAACTAGCTGATCTGAATTTTACACGGTTTTAACTGACTAGGCTACTGAATTCCCGTACGTAGGACGGGCTAACACCTCGTACAATAATAAAACATACTATGACCCCAAAGGTCTTCCGATGGGAGGTCCACTATCAGCCACCTTAGCGGAGCTATTTATGCAAAATTTCGAGGAGCAACATATATTATCACATAAAAACCCCTATTCAACAAAATCAAATTTTATGCTCGGCATGTTGATGATGTCTTCATCGTACTAAATGCTAACCTAACCAAAGACAGGCGAATCATTTCTTAACACACGTAAACAAAACACACAATAGCATCAAATTTAAAATGGAAACTGAACTAAACCATTCTATAAGCTTTCTTGACATAACAGTCACTAAAACTCAAAACCAAGCAGTTAAAATCGGAATTTTCAGGAAACCAACACAAACAGATCTAGTTATACCTACCAGCAGAATCCAACCACCCTTACAACCAAAAAATGGCAGCTTTTAGATCATTAACATATAGACTTCTTAACTACAATCTCGACCAAAAAGAGTATGAAAAAGAAAAAGAAATCATAAAAACAATAGCGTCAAATAACGGTTACAATCCAACAATCGTAGAAACTATGATCTGCAAAACCCGAAGGAAAATTAAATCCAACATATAAAATGAACATTCAAATCAGTCGAACCCGGAAAACCAAAATCAGAAATACGTAGCAATCAAATACACCGATAAGACAACCGAAAAAATAGGAAAAATCTTTAATAAAGTAGGCTACACACCAGCTTACAAGTTAAAACCAATCCAGTGCCCATTTACAAACAGGAAGCCAACAAAGATAACCCAGATAATGAAAGAGGAGTCTATAAAATTACATGTGCGCCTCCCTGCAATAAACAATATATCGGCTACCTACACAAACAGAGCTTTCAGCAAAAGATTCAAAGAACACAACACTCAACATCATGCAAACCCCAGCTCAATAGTAGCTAAACACCTGAAAGAAAATCATGGTCACAAAATTATGTATCCTGAATCATTACAGATCCTCCACAAAACCAACTCCAAATCTACTGCAATAGTCAAAGAAAGTTACGAAATTTATAAGCAAGTTAACACTAACCCTGACGCCCTCCTAAATAAGAAAGAGGACTACCATAATTCCATTTTGTTTGACCTCATTAAAAACATAGAGGAAACCCAACGATCTGGCAACACCGCACTAAAATGGCAACAGCGCAAAAGAGAAAGCGACCATCCCTTACAAACAATGACTACATCCCCTGATCATAACACTGTCACTGTCAACCACTCAGATCCAGTACAAGCCTATCACGTCAACAGTGCGGAACAAAATGTACCCCGGCGCTCGTGTCGCCGTCGCCGGGCAACCGTGGCCACGAATGTGACCGGTTAGTGATTAGAAAATATAGTGTAAATATGTACATAGTAACAGTAGTGTTTAAGAAGATACTCTATGAAGATGCCGCACTGAGCGGCGAAATGCGCATCGAGTATTAATTCAAACTACAAGACCTTCAGGCAAAATTGGTAAATAATTCCTGAGTATATTAAATAAATCTGAGAGTATTTGATTGTGTAGAACAAATTTAATAATCGAATCAGAGCATGGTCTTGGTAGAATAGTAGGGTTGCAATAAAGGCTATGAGGATAGGTTTCCATTAAAGCCATAAACATTCATTTTAATAACACAAATCAAATAATAGACTCAGTAGTCAGATTAAAGTTATTAAATTTCATTTTCAAACCCCACCAGGGGGCAACTTTTTGGTTTATTCACGCCTATATGCGATACCTATCTAAATTATATCATGTATAGGAGTGAATTAATGTTTTGAAGAGATGAAATGGTGATAAAATAGTAGAGGAAGTCCTTTATTTCTATTTACAAAAAAGAATTAGAGTAAGAAGCTTTTTATTTTTCTTTACAAAGTAAAAGGTCTAGGCTAAAGCCTACAAACTTGCATTGTATGAGGGGAAAGTATTGTTTTTGTCTCTATTTTTTAGCTATTTCCATAAAATAATGTATGTTATAACAATTAAGTAAACCATTAAGTATGTTATGACATGCTACATTTTTATCAAAATCGTTAAAGCAGTTTTTATAAAAACACTTGTTATTTAATGGGTGTTTAAAAAAAAATTATCGCTAACATTTAATTTTAATATTTTTAAATGAAAAATTTCCATTATTGGGCCCTAGTACTCAAATACCAAATTGCATAGGCCTAACAATTGGACTAAAGGTAGTCTGTAGCTCTGTTAACACAGACACAGAAACACTAACAATCATTTTAAAAACCACTTTTTGTTCAAAGGGACCCAAAACGGATGTTTCACCTCAAAACTCTAACTACAAAATGTTGATGAAATAAATACGTTCTCTACATATTATGTGAGTTTATAGGGGAAGAAAGTAAAAGTGTTTACCTTATGGAAAGTGATGACGGGCTTTGGGTGGATTCTGATAATGGTGAGGAAGCTACGATAACCTTGCAGTAGTTGAGCGAACGTCCGCATGAATACAGCTCTGATCTGCTTGTCTAGAACCACAGGTGGGGGTAGCGGTGGCGGGGGTGACGGGGGTCTGCACTGAAACACAAAACACAACATTGTAACTGTAGTTAGCAGGAACATGAGGTGGGGACGCATGATACAACTAAGGCTTATTTTAACCCATAGGTCTATAATTGGCTTGAGTGAGATACTTTTTGTTACTGACTAAGTTAAGAGGTTTCTTTAGTAAAAACAAAAACCTTTAACCAAGCCCAATGATCGAGGATATCTGGGTCCAGTTTTGAACCATCAAAATGCCAATGACTTTATTCAGGATTAAGGACCTTCTAATTAGTAGGAGAGCACAGCACCGTAACCACTCGGCCACCCAGACTTGAGAGGATTTGAATGAGTCAGTTTTGTTTTTCAAACTCTAGTGTTAAAATAATGATCCTGAAACTTTTACGTACCGTATGTAAGGGCAAACATTTGCTTAACATAACACAGTATTATGTTAGCGAAAATCTCTCACGCACGGGCAGTAGCCTATGTGAGAGGCATTTGATATTTAATGACTAATATTATTTCATAACTATTGCATAACTATAAAATTTTTACTGTCAAAGTATTGTAGCAATGTATTTTACTTCCTGAAATAAACATGATTTTGATTTGATTTGACGTTTTTAATTAGGCCTATGGTTTTCTTTTAAGGGTTATTTCTAGTTTTGACTATTATCCAGTAATATGTGTAGTTTATTTTTGTTTTCCAGCTTTGCTGAGTTAATATTGCTGGGTTTTAACTCACTTTGACTATTAACTAATAATTAATGGTACAATACCTCATCAAGTAGCCTAGTTTAAAATGTTGATGTCAGGTTAACAACCTACATGTTTCACTGTTGTGACGTAAAATTCCAGGGGGGGGGAATATACTGGTATTCACCAAAGTCAGGCTAGACCTACCCCTTGAACAGGCCACACTCAAATTTCTTCCCTAGAGTGCTCAGAAGGAGCCGAGAAATTCAATTGTTGAGCCGGCCTACATTTCCGTCTGTCGTCTGCCAACAAACACCGGTTTGAGGTTATGTTATGTCGTTGGCGGCGCCAAATATTGGTAAAATCGGTCGGTTTAACTTTATTTGATGAATTGGCGTGCTATTACTGATAAATATGTCGTTTGAGTTTGTGTATAGGCCTATACTTCACTGTGATTAAAACTAGGCCTACGTTCTTTGGCCCATAGCCCAAGCTAGGATAGTGTAGGATATTGTGGATCAAAACTGGTAAGCTATGGTATTTGTTGAGTAGCGGTACGTTTTTACCCCCCTTAAAATTTGGTACCTCACACCGTAAATGCAGCATCGTCGGGGCTACGAAACATAAGACATCGATGTCAACATTTAATTGACATTGATAGATAGGCCTATGAAATGTTTGTTTTCGTGTATTTATTGTGTGCGTGTGACATTGATGTCTCATGTTTTGTAACTCCGGTGATGCCGTATTCACGGCAAAACATGTCTAGGTTGTTAACATGACATAAAAATTTGTATTATTTGACGAGGTACTGTACGATAATTATTAGTCATATAGACTTACAGTAATTCAGGGGCCATCAACATGATATTCAATTTGACTATTGCTACAACTAGACACAGTCCATCCACTTGTGTAAGTTGTTTCCAGTTTTGAATCAAAATGTGTATAGTTGAATTGAACAACTAACAAAGTACATTGAAGTAAATTTACTGATTCCTATCAAATAAGCCAACTTTTTAACCGAATCAAACTGATGGGACGACTTATTGTCAAGCAATAGCATATTTTGTCCCATCAATTATCTCTGTGTTGGGTTTTAGACTGGAGCACACAGTGTGAGCGGCTACACAGGGCCGGATTTCCCAATAGGCCCGGGCCTATGGGCGCAAGGTCCCAGAGGGCGCACGCCCGAGAGGATTTTTTTTATATCTAAAAATGAAAATAAATTGTCTTAGTTGATAAAAAAACTGCCTGTTTAAGCGTTGTGATTCTGAGGTTTATAAGAAGAAACAATAGTTAGGAAACTTAAACTATTTTCAGAACTACGCATCAATTTCGTTACAAAATTGGTAGCGAACACCGGTTATACGGGAGTAGGCTGTAGGGATGTTGACGTTGACGAGCGCGCTAGCAGTACGCATCGTATTGCCACTGCACTGCCACTATGCTGGCTCGGGCTCGGTACTATCTGATCAGAGTGATTAGGGGCGCATGCGTGGTAGACATTGTTACCACCCTCACTTCACAAAACAAAATTTATTAACTAATAAAAATATATAATACGTTGTGTTGAATATCAAAACAACGATGAATTTACAAAAAAATATTGATTTCAGTTTGCATTCGATTTTAGAAAAATTCAATACCCTCCAAAGCACCATTAATGCTGTAATTTTCTCCTCAGACCTAAGGATCGGTATGGTTGGACGGAATATTGCTCTGTTTTGCTTTGGAAATATAACCCAGAGTGAAATGCTCTTTCAATTATAATGATTAATTGATAATAATCAATTAGGCTTGATGCAATCTAAGAACATCAATATTTGTAGGCCTGTTATTGCATTAGCATGCTGTTGTTATTCGGTCTCTAAATAAATTTAATTTAATCTATCCTATAATTAATACCATTAAAAAATCGATTGTTATTTTGGTTAACATGTCAAACCACAAACAATAGGCCTAACACAACCTATCCGGCATCGCTGGTCTTGGTGACGAAGGAGGTAATTAAGGTAATAACCACGTAATAACATAGTTTAACATAGTTTACATAGAGCTTAAGTTAACAAGTTAGCTGGCAAATTACAGAGAAACGTTAAAGTTAGGCTTACATCTCGTAATTGATACGATAGAGATAATATTTATTTAATAAAACAGGTACTTACGCTTAAAGTGTACGATGCAAGTTTGCAATGAATTAATAAAAAGCTTTGAAATAGAATATCTTAAAGAAACACAGTTATTCATCAAGACTACAAGACGAAGACGTTTTACCTATGACATAACCATCACCAGCCATCACCTCAATACACACACACAAGCTTAGCAAGATGACGGAGGACTCGGAGGAGGACGGGGATGACAAACAGAAACGAAACAGCTGATTGTGTTTTTCCCCACTCAATCCACTCCACATCCAGTATCGGATTCAATCCAATAGACTGATACTGATTTCACGCAGTGTTTCCATACGCGGGATTTTTATCCCGAAAAGGAACTTTTAGACAATGCGTGGGATTAAAATGGAATGCGAATGCGGGATAAGACGGGATTTTTATTAAGGTAAAGCGAGATTTTCTTAACGTGGTAGGCGGGATTTCTGCATGTATAGTGTACGTCATCCTATCCCCTAGTTTTAATTTTGTCCTTGTCGTCTGGTAAAAGTAAAAATAAAACAAATACAAAACAACAAAACCTGTTGACTGAAATTAAGTTAACCTTGTCCTTGTCATGTGGGTTGAATTTCTAGGCGTGCGGTTATAATTTCTTGATTTCTTGTAGAGTTGAAGTAATTCTACATTCAACTAATTTGATAGTTCACATATTTGTTGTTTCATTATAGTTTGTTCAGTTGTTGAAAAATCTAAAAAATGATGTTTGTAAACAGTTTTACCAGTGTCCAGTGTCTAATGAAATTGCAGAGGAAAACTAAGATGTCTTTTATTTTTAAAAGAGTAAGTTAAGAAGAACTGTGTGTAGGCCTATGTGTTGTTGTTTTATTTCAATAGGCGACTTAAGTTATTTAAAGCCAATCTTTATAAGGTTGGGTTACCTAACCTAGCATGTTGCTAGGCATGGCCTCAGTTACACTTTACAAGTGCAGAATAAACATTTTCCTTTTCTTGACTAAGTTAAATGATCATTGAAAATATGTCATGCGTCAATATGGTGCAGTATTAAATAAAAAAATTGGTACTTTCCTGTTAAAGGGAACATTCATTATTATCGATGATTTTTTTTGATACATCGATATTTTTGTTTTCCGATCAGATCTATTACAAATTGACAACAACAACTAACTGGTCTTGTTTAGGCTAAAATAGTCTAAATGGATTAAGAAATAAAACTGTCCTAAGCTAACCTAACATAACCAACCAAACTTGCTGTACCATTTAAAACTTCCGTTTGGGTTTGATAATAGAAAAGGCAAGTTAAACACGGTATTTTTAAATGTTACAGCAAGTTTGGTTAGTTATGTTAGGTTATTTTTTTAGAACAGTTTCATATACTGAATAATATTTATCGTAGTTGTCAGCTGATATGTTTCAATTTGTTAATATCGATATATCGAAAAAAATCATCGATAACAATGAATGTTCCCTTTAACAGGAAAGTACCAAAAATTGTGTTTTTGTTGTAAATTTCCAAGTTTGCTTATAAATTGTAATGTTCTGAGTTCTGATATCATATTTCTCATAAAATCGAAAAACATCTATATAGTTTACAATGTAATATTGAATTTGACTTTGATTTAGTTTGATAAGGTTATTATAATATAGCCTTTTTAGGAACAAAACCTTATTGCAGTAAAACCTCAGTACTTAACACACCATTAACTTATGATCACTATTGTGGTTTAGCTGAAAAATATCATCTAAATTGTCTGTGAGTAGTGCTGCAACCTAGTAACGCATTGAACAAATTGCTGTAGTGCTATCAATTAGCAATCATTGGTGTCAGCTTAAATACCGGTTTTTACTCCTCTGTCTCCAAGCACAGGTAGCCGAGGTGACTAAGGGTGTGTGTCACTTGGCAAGTGGCATTCGTCTGCTCAGGAACGAATCCTGTCCAGTGTGGCAAACAATTGGTGACCTGTGTGTTTGTAGCGATATACTACAACCACTGGGACATAGTGAGGTGTTCATATTCTTGGTTTAAACATAGGCCTACACCTCGAATCATCGGATTGAGCGAATCTTTTTGCTGAGTGGTTGTTAGTGTATCCTATGAACATGCAGGTCACATGGCCGTTTTGCTACGTTTTGTTAAAATACCGTAACCTTAGAGTCTCTATATCCCTTAGAGATTTTAGTAAAAAACAATAACTTATATTGTTACATCTCTAAGGGTTAAACTTTAGGCAATTTTACTTGCTACTTAGTGAAAGTAAGAAGAATGAAAGGTATACAACCAGAAGAATCACCTAAGTTTTTATAATAGGTTTAACAAAATAGGACCAGGCCTAACTTATTTCTTTAGTTAGAAAGAATGGCCAAAGCTTCTACTTTTAGGCTTTTTATCAATAAACAATTTGTTGTCAGTTTTCATCTGGAATCCCAGTTTCACAAGATGTTGAGACGGTAGAAGCTTTACCTCACCTCACAGATGGGTTTGGTCGACAGCATACCTACCTGCGGATATCACTTACAGAGCGATGCAACCTTAGATGTGAGTCACACAAATTTCTGGGCTCAGGTGGTTCTGCTTCAGAATTTACTGAAGGAAAATTACTCTAGGGTACACAATTAGGACTGTTATGTGTCATAGCTATATTAAAACTTTTTCAGCTGATGCCATTCTGAATTCTCATGTCAGCAAGACAAACTTGCATAATGGTTTCATTATGGCCATAGATAGGCCAGATATGTTTACTTTGTTTTGGAAATTCATTTGGCCCCACTATAACTTCTAAGTTATTACTTCTTTGGGAAAATATTTAAATTCTTGATATTTTTTAATAGCAATAAACATCAACCGCTCAGCCTGTAGTCCAGCTCACAAAGTATCTTTAAGGGTTCCAAAATGTATTTTCAACAAAATTTTTTTAGTTTCTTGAATTTTAAATAATAACCAATGCTGCCATGGATTTTAGTACACTCTAACTTTTAATTTACATAAGTTACCTACTTCAGTTTTAAGTTTACAATTAAACATAATGCTGTTCTAATGGTCAGGCCAGTACTGTATGCCCGAGGAAGGGGTCAACTTGACACCCCGCAATCACCTGTTGACGACGGAGGAAATTTTGCGTCTCGCAGCATTGTTCGTACGTCAAGGAGTCACTAAAATACGTCTCACAGGAGGCGAGCCTACCGTACATAAAGAAATCATCCATATCGTAGGTAGGTGTTTTGTAAAATATTGTCTACGAACAGAATGCAATTTTTCATAGTATATTTTAATACCTAGCACAATTGTAATAATATAATTTTGTTTTTAGAGAGAAAGATTATACTGTCCTCAGTACGGTAATCCTCTCACTTTATTCTGTGTTTTAAGTATTTGACACAATTATATTCTCTTAGCCTATCACAATAACTTTTAGGCTTTTGCTTGACTATAGTAATTGTTTTGGTCTGTAGTTCATATTTGCTACACAGTTCATATTCAGTTTCTAGTACCGTATGTCACATATTACCTTGCTAAACTGACAATGTCCCAGACAGCCTTCGCAAGTTGGACGGGCTGGAGACGCTGGCTATGACCACCAACGGAATGGTACTGACTCGTCAACTGGTGGCTCTGCATCGTGCAGGACTGGACCTGCTCAACATCAGTCTGGACACGTTACAACCTGAGCGCTTCTCACAGGTGACCAGACGCGCAGGTTGGCACAGAGTGATCGCTGGAATAGACCTGGCCGTGCAGCTGGGGTACACACCTAAAGTAAGTTTGTAGGTCTTCCAAAATTAACTAGCTATTATTTAGTATGCAAGAAGCAGCAAACACTTTTAAGAAAGCATTCCAGACCCCTTTTTTTGTATCATCATCACACACAATCATTTTAAGCTTTTAATGCAATACTTCTGTGATTCTCTGTTCTGTGAGCTCTGAAATTCACAAACAAATCGGTCTAATTCATATGCATATTAGAAAATGTTAAACTGTACTTTTGTTTGCACCACACGGTGTAATAATAGCGAATTGTACTATGTATCGGAAAAAACATTTTGAGTTTGTCTAAATTGCTTAAAACATCATAGTAGTTTTGACTAGGGCTGTAGTTTTACACTGTTGCAATGAATTTGCATGGAACTTCGTCTAATTGTGCATGTTAATTGTTTTAGTATCACCTATTTAAGACTGTTACGTAGGATAAATAATGTTTTTTTCAACAGCTTGGTAAGTCAAACCCTTAATAGGCCTAAGTCTCGGATGGTTTTTTTTGTCAGTCAAGTAGTGAATGTGATGTGTTTGACAGGTGAACGTTGTCGTGATGCGAGGTCTGAATGATGACGAAGTGGTCGACTTTGTCAGCTTCACTCGAGACAGACCTGTAGATGTGAGATTCATAGAGTACATGCCGTTCTCCGGCAACCGCTGGGACGACCAGAAGATGGTGCCTTTCCGAGAGATGTTGGAAACAATCAGAAAACACTTTCCCGACCTGCATCCACTCACCAACCAGCCCAATGACACTTCTAAGGTGAGCTACGGCAAACTGAAATTACAGAGGTGCAATCGGAGGATGTTTCTAATTGTACACGGTTTTTGTACAAGGTGTCTACCAGTTCTAGTAAATAAAACCTTTGACTTTTAAGTGATTTTTTCTATAATTAATAATTTTTACTGTTTTGAACTATTATATACTTTTGACACTTATTGAAACCTCAAATGCTTTCAAAATAAATTTACTGGCGTTTCAGTCTAACTTCCTAAGAAAATGTGTGATTTTCATGACTAAAGACACCCTGTAATGACTATTATCAATTCACATTTTCCTTTATCGCCTTTATTGATCAGCCGAAGACAATAATTACAAAGCTAGTTTTCTCCCGTTTATGCAGAGGGAATATTTTTGTTTACGAATAGTAATTTTACATATTTGATAACTACCGAATACAATAGCTCTCCTCTAGTATTCCAAGCAGCTAAGCTCATATCATAAAACGATAAAACCTTACTCAAAATAAAAGTAAAAACATTTTGTTGATACTAATGTTGATACAACGTCACAACATGAAACAACAAAAAAATTGCCGTAAGATGAGAAGTCTACTCCCACTATTCAAAGTCAATAATGGTGTTATTCCTAGTTGTTGTTGAGAGATTATAAATCGGAGTCTAATAAAAAATAATCTTGATTTGGATTAATTTGTGGATTTTTTATCATTTAAGAACATTTTATCTGGCTTTTATTAGCTTTTCTAATTTGTTTAATTAAAACCAACATGTTATCATAAAAACAAGAAGATAGCGTCCAAGTATGTTTACATTAGTTATCAATGATTTCTACAGATTTTGATGTGTTAATTTGTTGATGACTACTCAAAATTACTTCTTGCAACTTGTTATCAATTATTTGTCAAGGCACACAAACACGTATCAGTGATTGCAAACACATCTTCTATAAACTGTTGATAAAATTGAAGTGTACTTAACTACTTATAAATAGTTTCTTGTGCAATGATTGTGAAATAAGTCTTGGTTTGTAGAATACGGTATGTGGAAGAAACCATTGAAATGAATCTAGATCTGTTCATTGAACTGCTGAACAATTAAGTAATATTAATACCTCGTGAATGTACATTGCTCATTCATAGTTTTAATCATAGAATTTTCAATACAGAAAATTCTTCCGTAAAACATTAAACGCAAAAAGTAGTTTTCATACATATAAGTTGATGTGAAAGGTTTGAATTTTCGAACGAATTTAGTTAAAAAGATATCAAACCGTTTCCAGACTTTTTTCTCACCCTGTATATTTTTTAGAAGTGTTTTTAGTTCGTATACTAAAATGGTAATTGTGAATATTTAAAAATTACTAATGTCAGTACCTTGCCAGCTTCCACCAGAACTTATGCTAACTGCAGCACTGCTATCGGTCTATATTTAATTATATTTTTCATCACTCCTTAACTAAAGTAACTATTTTCGATAACATCTGACATCAATGAAAGTAGTCGTTTCCCAAGCTCTAATTTAGGGCGAGGGAAAATCGATCAGCTGATTTTCCCTCGCTCTAAATTTACTTTCCCTCGCTCTCAATTAGTTATCCATTTACTCACTACGTGCGCTAGTGTTTTGTTACGATATAATTTAATGATTTCGATCAGCTGTATGTATAGTCACAAGTTCTTTTATTGTTTTATTTTACGGTTTAATCCAAATTTATTTAAAAAATACGTAAGTTTCCTTTAGAGTATTTTCTTTTATTTTTTGTTCTAAAATTAATCGAAAATATACGTACGTATCCTTTTAGAAGATTTTATTTTATTTTGATGCTAATCAAATTAATTGAGAAATAAATTAGTTGTAATATTACTGAGGTCTGCTATTCTGTGTTTGTGTATTTTTGCGTCGTGATGAAAAGTATCGTTCATAACTCGTACCGAAAGTTATTATCCGGCACTTGCTCCTTTATTCCCGTCCTCGGCTTCGCCTCGTACGTGAAAATAGCTCTCACATACTCGGCTTCGCCTCACGGTGAAAAACTTGAGCGCGCGCCGGAAAATGCCACTTTCGGTCCTAGTAATGAAATATACTATTTCTATGGTAAGACTTTTTTTGTTTGCCTTTTAATTTAATTTAACCTGGTTTTGAATTGTAACTGCATTTTCATTTTTGAAGTCTTGCCTTCTGGATTACTAACAGTTACTAATCTAGAGGTTAAATACCTTGTTGCCCACGTAATCCTCGGCAGTCCTTGTTATACGTTGATAAAATAAATCATATTCCCACGTCAATGTGTTGAATAATAAATAAAAAATAATATACCTAGTAAGGTTTGTTTGCAAATTATGCAGATTGCTGTTCTTTTAGACACAGGTTTTCAACAAAAATTAAGTTGATATTTTATGAAAGGGATTGTGAAAAAAATTAAATAAATAGTGTTTTCTTCATTTGCAGGCATACAAAGTGCCGGGCCACAAGGGCCAGGTTGGCTTCATCACGTCCATGAGTGAGCACTTCTGTGGCTCCTGCAACCGTCTGCGGCTCATGGCGGACGGAAGCTTGAAAGTGTGTTTGTTCGGCAACACTGAAATATCTCTCAGGTCTGTCTATTTAATCAGGTGGAATATTTATTTGTGAAGCTGCATGATTAGTGTCAGTACCTGCAGTAATAATCATGCTGAGTTATAACATGATTTTGTAGGTCTAAATAGGCCATAGAGATACAATCTCACATTCAGTCATGCATTACCTAATCTCAATTAAAAAGTTCCAAGGCTTAGTGTTAAAAGTATAGAGGAAGTTCTTCTCGCCTGAGAGAGCTAACGCGTATTCGAGCTAAGTGGAACTACAACTTAAACTGTAAATCAAAACATCCGGTCATGTAATTATCAAGTAATTAAAAGTTATTGGTGACAAGTGGGATTAGAACCCAGAAGTCATGCACCAAAATTAGCAACCTCCACGTAGTCTTGATGATGACCATCCTTATTAAAAAAAAATTAAGTAGTCTCAGGACATATCCTAGCCTACTGTAACAGGTGGAATGTCTAAAATAGTTTGTTCATTACAGGGATGCGATGAGAAGTAACTGTAGTGAGGAGGATCTTCTGTGTATGATTGGTGCCGCTGTCAAACGGAAGAAATTCAAGCATGCTGGTAAATTTAATTTATTTTAAGTCAATTATTGGATTTTTAAAGAGGAAAATATCACTCAGCTTGATTATGTAAAGGAATAAGGAACAGTTAGTTACGTAACCACAAGTAATTTTTTTAAGAAAGTAGTTCCAGCCAATTTATAGCACACTAAAGTCGACGACTTAATGTACTTGATATCTAGCCCCTCCAAAAGAAATAGTTTTTAAAAGATAGGTAGTAGATTGTTTTGGATTTTTTTAGGTTATGTATTGTCTGGAACCATTGTTAACTTGTTAAGTGAGTAACTTTGTGTAATGGTTCCTTCTTCCTGTGTTACCTTAATTACAGGGATTTTGGTGAAGGAAATAGGTATTTAACTTTTTATCTTTTTACTAAAACGAGTTTTTCCTCCATTCATTTATATTTCATGCATATATTTCATTTGAATTTCATTTATATGCATTCCTCATAGTCTTTGTTTTTTTATGATCATATGTTTTATTAATAAGTTAAAGTTTGTAGCTCAGAACCCCATTGGTTGCATTGGTAAAATCATAGACTTTTATGAAGTCCCGTCCCATCAGGAGCCAATTCCGTGTTTTAAAAGAACATAGTAGGATGAGTCACTCTCGGAGTGTTTTCTAGTCTAAAATTATATTTCCTCCCTTAGTTTGTAATACTATAACAGTTGACATAAAAGGTCCTACAGTATACTATCAATTTTTTCCATCTTTTGTCAGATTACTACTGTTGTTATACATAGCTTTTCTTTTCATCCGTCAATTAACCTGTCCAATTAAAGTAATCTTTAGGATTCAATACAAATAAACATGAATACAACCCACAGAGATTAAACTTGTTTTAGTTTTGTTTAGGATGATAGTATATAAGTATGAAGATGTTTGCAACATGGAGTATTAAATAGCAGAAACATAACTAAGCTACTTGCATTCTTATGTTGCAGGCATGTTCAACTTGGCTAAAATGCCCAATCGACCCATGATCTTAATCGGTGGATAGCTGTCATGTAGGTAGGCTGTTGAAAGAATATTTTATAATGTCTTTTCTCACAAAATATTAAAATAATTTAAACTAAATCAATTTCCACTTGTAAGGATTGATAAGCAATTTGTGCTATAAGATGGAACTATGATATTGTGTTTCACAATCTTGAAATTTGGAACAAAGCCTCGCATAAGTGTGGGGTTTTAGAAGTTGAGATAGACTTTTTGTAATTAACTAATGCACTTAAAATAACTTTGGTACAATACCTCAGTACTGTTAATTAAAGTCTGGTTTTTTATTTTAGTAAATAATTGTCATTGAGTTTTTAAAATCAACCGACTTTTATTCACCTAATTCCAGTCACAAATACACCTAAATGACTGGAGATTTCTATCATATTTGAAGTATTTTTTTACGGAAGGGAAGGGTCCAAATCTTTATCTTGTTACTATCTATGTTTTAGTCTTGTTCTTTAAAAATATAAAGTCTGTGAATGAGTCTTTTGCAATATTGGGCTCAACTTTGTGAGATAAATGGTAACTTCCATTGTAGAATAACTGATTGACTATTTTCAATAGATATATTTATTTATTATAGCGTAAAGAAAGTGACACTAATTTGTCTTTCTTTTCAGATAACACAAGGATATTTTTGCCCAGAACAATAAAATTCAGAATAAACGATCAAATCTCAACTCCCTCAGTCTGGAAGCAACAATGGAACAACCACCAGTTCACCCCAATCACCATTTACAAACCTAATCAAACGCACACTAGGATGTACAGCAAACTAACCCACGTGGACGGAGATGGGAAAGCTTCGATGGTGGACGTTGGTGCAAAGCCATTGTCAAAACGTACAGCCGTGGCCGAGGCTAGAGTCCACGTCGGGGAGGAGGTAGCGGAGCTGATAGCAGCCAACAACATGAAGAAAGGCGACGTGCTTACAGTGGCGCAGTTGGCAGGCGTGATGGGCGCCAAGCGGACGTGGGAGTTGGTACCACTGTGTCACCAGGTGGCGCTGTCACATGTAGACGTGAGTGTGAGATTGGTTGGCAGCACTGTGCGAGTGACAGCGTCGGCTGCATGTGTAGGACAGACAGGGGTGGAGATGGAAGCATTAACCGCTGTCACGGTGGCAGCCCTGACTGTCTATGACATGTGTAAGGCTGTGTCTCGTCAGATGGTCATCTCCGATGTGCGTCTTGTGTCCAAGACTGGCGGCACTAGAGGTGACTATGTCAGAGAGGTTAGTTGAATCAACCAACTCCCATGTAAAGTGTCCATGTTAAACTCATTTTTTTGGTATTTTCCATGTAGAATCTAACCAACTTAATATGCTTGCTAATGAGAAACGTATTAAAAGCAATTACTGAAACTTCAAAAGAGGTAATTTTTTATAGGAAAAATGACTTGGGTAAATAAATTTTCTATAGAAAAACTAAACTAGGCCTACACCTGAAATAGTCTCAGGCATTTGATGAAACAAAGTTTACATAGTACTTTTAGGGCAACTTCAGACGTACATTTTTTTAACATTCCCTTCAAAAACAATTTCATTATTCAATTGCTTCGCTAAGACAGCAACACACTTTCTGTACATATTTTAAGCTGAATATGAACCCAGAGTCAGTGTACAATATGGTTGGTTTATGGCTTTTTCTTTTGCCAGAACCATTATTTTATTAATTCCCAAAGATCGGCCAACAGTAGATCCAGTTTTGAACAAATATTAAGAAAGGAATTGATAATCACAGATAATCACAATTGAGTTACAAAATACAATAGACCTACCCAGTTTGTAAGATTCTAATTGAGTTTTTTTTTTGTACATTGTACAATGTCTATGTTTTGCTTACTTCAGATTTGTCATAATTACTCTTAGCCCACTGCGATCCAAAAGACCTTTTAAGGTTGTCTTAATCGGTCAGTTGACCAGCTGTACTGGGCGTGGCCTTTTGGATGGCAGCTCGGATAAATTTCACATCAGTTGTCCTTGCCAACCGAATGGCCAGTGGTCCTGCCACTTCCCCCTTTAAAAGACCAGTAACACTGACCAAAGAACATGATTTTTACAGAAACCAAATTTTTATTTGTTTTTATGTCTGCGGAATGGTGAAATCCTAAGAGCAACTTTGAAACTAAAATTCCAAGCTGATACAAAGAGAAAGACAGCCACAGAACACTTGCTAGTGTCAGGGACAGCTGATGTTACCATAAAATAATTCCACATCGTCCACACTTCAGGCACAATTTTCATTGACCATTTCTTAATCTTAAATGTTTTGTTTTGTTACTCATGTTGGCATTAGGTTAGTAGTATATTTCATTACTAGGACCGAAAGTGGCATTTTCCGTCAGCGCGCTCAAGTTTTTGTGTGAGGCGAAGCCGAACACAGGGAACATCAATTTCACGTGCGAGGCGAAGCCGAGGACGGGAATAATGGAGCAAGTGCCGGATAATAACTTTCGGTACGAGTTATGAACGATACTTTTCATCACTACGCAAAAATACACAAACACAGAATAGCATACCTCAGTAATATTACAACTATTTTATTTCTCAATTAATTTGATTGAACATCAAAATAAAATAAAATAAAATTTTCTAAAAGGAAACCTACGTATATTTCTTTATACATTTTGTTTAAATGTCAAAATAAAAGAATAAAACATCTTTGAACAATACATACAGCTGATTAAAATCATTAAATTAAACCATAACAAAACACTAGCGCGCGTAGTGAATAAATGTAGAACTAATTGAGAGCGAGGGAAAATCAGCTGATCGATTTTCCCTCGCCCTAAATTAGAGCTTAGGAAACGACTACTTTCATTGATGTCAGCTGTTATCGAAAATAGTTACTTTCGTTACGGAGTGATGAAAACATTATTTTTCTGAAGGATTGTTGTTGTTTATCTGTCCATAAATTGTCTTAACACGTTCGCTCCGACAGGGCCAGTAATGAAATTTCAGTCAAAACCATATTTGTGAACAAATTACCATATTTAAAAAGTTTTTTGTTAAAATAAATAAAAAAAGTAAAGGTAAATGTCAAAGTTTTCCAAAACTTAATGAATTGGTAAAAAAAATATCGGAGCGAACCTGTTAATTTCTAAGAAAAGAGCTTTTTTTATATATATTTTTCTAGACAATGATTATAAAAATAACTATTGTTTGGCATCAATATGTATTTATTTACACAACAGGGAAATACAAGGCTGTGATATATTCAACCATTAATGTGTTAACCATTTTATAGAATTGATTGTTATGTATAATTTCTTAGCTGTTTATAACTTCTAATATTTTTAAGAAAACCTACTTATATAATATGTAGTGGACCTTATCCGTGAATTCACTACCACAATGTAATTTTTATGTAATAGTACCACAATTAAAGGCTAGGTGGTAGGTGGAAGGGGCAAGGTACATCAGCATGCGGATAGGTGTTGGGGCATAAAAGGGGCTGGAGATTGGCGTCAGTTGGGTTCCTCAACCCAGGCTCTGTCTGCTGACAGAGAATGGAAGGAGAAGATTTTAGAGCACCCTGAGATTAATGTACTCATTAATCAATTACGTTAGGAATAGTGTAGTTGTTTGGATTGGAGAAGGCCAGCAGAAATAATGAGTTCAGAGGTTCTTACCGTGTAGGCAATCAGGGGCTAAAACTGCACTACGGCAATTTCAGAGATAACACCATCGTCAGGTGCGTTGTGGTACACTAAACTACCACAACGCACCTAACGATGGAGTTATCTTCAAAATGGCCAGTGCAGTATAGCCGCTGATTGCATAGACGGTAAGAACCAAATATATTATTATATTTTCACGCAGTCTGCCACACTCAAGAATATGAATTCAGATGGTCTAGTAGATATATTTAGGTACGAAGCGTGGGCGTGGCAGCCGCATCCCACAGAGGGTCTTATCCAGGAGACATGCGTCTCTTGACAATGTCTCTTTCAGTGATACGGTTTTTTTTCTTCAAAAAACATAAAACCAATAATACAAATTTATTGCCAAGTTTGTGAAGTTTACGAAAACAACGTAATGAAGTAAAGTTCTGTGCAAAAATGGTGCATTCAGTTTAACACGTTCACTGCGGGCGTATCCGATCGGATACAAGACGCTGCCATAACCGATCGGATACGCTCGGCAATGCCTTTCGTATATCATCGTTTTTGCTCTAGCGTCGGTCGAAAGCAGACCAATTCCACGTTAGCGTGTAGTGGGTGACTTGCTTTTAGTTGTGTTGTAGGTTGGTAGTAAAATTTCCCCATAAAATCCCTGTCTGGCAAACTTAAAAATCAACTTGTTGTCCCGTCTTTCTCCCTCCAATTGGCAATACGATGGGACCGGCTACGTTCCAAGCAGTGCTGCTATATGTGAGTGTTTAGCGAACTACGTCGACTCTTGTTATAAAACAGGACATCACCGCACGTTATTTGCTATTCGTCATACCGAAATATGAGAGCCAAACACCCGGCAATCGGGTTTGTTCGACGCTGCGGGCTGCGCCGTGCTGAGGCTACGCCTGCCATTTGATGGCCCGCAGCGAACGTGTTAAAAATGACCAAACTGACGTCAATGGGTCATGATGAAACCAAGGGCGGACGCCCAAGCATTGTGACTGAAGGATCTGGTTGCTAAAGTTGATGAAAGGTTTGCAAAAAACTGCGATTCACGATAGATAACAGAACTTTTGCTTGATGTGTGATATTTTCAAACAACAATGTCCGTGAAACTGGAACGAAAACTCTGATAGGCCTATCTTGAATCAGCGTTTTTCGCTAACCTTTCATAAACTTTAGCGAACAGTTCCAACAGTCACAACGCTCTTGGTTTCGTCATGACTCATTGACATCCCTTCGGCTATTTTTAAACTGAATGTACCATTTTCGCACATAACTATGCTTCATTACATTGTTTTCGTAAACTTCACAAGCTTGGCAATAAATTTCTATTGGTTTTAAGTTTTTTGCAAAAAAAATCGTATCACTAACAGCACAACTGGAGGGATACTTGACACTTTTACCCGACTACTTGACTCCAAAAGGTCTTCATATTTTGTAGTGGTGTTTCCGGACCAATTGATTGACAAATAAATAAAAGATTAAAATACCTGATTGTCGCCTTGTGGTTCAAAGTATTGTCCTAGTGGATTATGTACATTTCATCACGAGCGCCATCATCGGATCCGTATAAGAACTATTAACTAAACTTCCCTGAAGAGGTGCCTAAAAAGTTCACAACAAAACACACATAAAAACCAGTCGACTGTTAATTAACATAGTTTTTAACTTTTGCTACGCGTGCACGGGCAGGATATGGAGGCTCGCCAGACGTGTGTCGAGACTTAACTGAAGACGGGAGTTGGTCAAGATCTGACCTTTGTCCTGGTGACGTAGGTAGTGCAGCATTGTTTCGGATATTATTTATTTGTATTAAGTTTTCAAAAAGAATGTTGGATTGCAGGGTGTTCTTTTGGACTGCAATCCAACATTCTTATTGAAACCTTAACACGTTCGCTGCTACGGACGTTCTGGAACGTCAAACGGGCCACGGCGCTAGGAGCTAGGAACGTTCCGGAACGTCGCCGTTCATCATTGTTTAACGTTTCCATGGATCAGCCAGCTCGTCACGAGCGTCCTATATTTCTTTGCAGCTCGTGGGGATGTACTTTTCTGACAATAAAAAATATAGTTTCCCAAACTCACCACCAGGGTCGTTTAGAACAGGGCTTTGTCCCACCTCTTTCCTGCTAGAGCCAGTTTTATTGCAAAACATTGCCATCCAGTACAACTACTGTTGTTTTTACTGTAATTCAGTGTATCGGCAGCAATGTTTACGCAGCGGCGAGCGTTAGTTCAGCTCCTGGCGCCGTCCCGGCATCTAGCGGTCAGCAGCGAACGTGTTAATACAAATAAATAATAGCCAAAACAATGCTGCACTACCTACGTCACCAGGACAAAGGTCAGATCACGACCAACTCCCGTCTTCAGTCGAGTCTCGACACACGTCTGGCGCGCCTCCATATCCGGCCCGTGCACGCGTAGCAAAAGTTAAAAACTATGTTAATTAACGGTCGACCGGTTTTTATCTGTGTTTTGTGTTGTGAACTTTTTACGCACCTCTTCAGGGAAGTTTAGTTAATAGTTCTTAGTCCGACGATGGCGCTCGCGCCAAAATGTACATAATCCACTAGGACAATACTTTGGACCACAAGGCGACAATCAGGTATTTTAACCTTTTATTTATTTGCCAAAAGGTCTGGCTGACCCCTAATTATAAAGTTTCTACCTGAAAAATATAGTGGTAGTGAGTTCACAAAAAGGTCCAAAATATTTTTTGTGTAAAAATATGGTTGTGGATTTTTGTAATGGTTTTAAAGAGAATAAATATATTTTTGTTATAAAAATTACAATTATTGTGTTACCCACCTTTTTGAAAAGGACGTGACAGTTAACATGATATTAAAAAACTTGGAAATACTTGAGATCTAATCAATTGCCATCACTTGCAGCCAAAGTATTGTCTTATCAATACTATTACATAGTTTAAAGATTGACTTGGTCTCGATAGTCCTTTTTGTAAATCAGGCTAAATAAATGGTGTTAAAAAATTGTTGCTAAAAGAAAAATATTAACCACATTTAGGTAAAATGAACTATCAAAATATTTTTTTACATTTCAGCCAAATCTGTAAATTAATCTAAACACTACTTACAACTGAGAAGTCCAAAGTAGTAAAAATTCTATTCTATGTACAAGTTATTACACATACACTGGCTAGAAGGATGTGCGGGGTGTACGGGAGGTGGATGCGTCGTCTGTACTCTTGACATTGAGAGTCTGGCGGGGGCCGGTGGTCCACACGTTGCCCCCGTCGTCTTGCACCGCTGCCTCCACAGTAACTGTGTGCTGACCCCCGGCCCCCAGCGCCAGTAGGAACTGAGCTGTAAAGAAATCTCTGTGTGGCGTCACGCTCTGCCACAACACCACACCACCATCTCCTGACTGTAATACAAAATTGTTAATATTCTTCAATACTTCGTGGGAGTAAAAATGTTGCATTTTTATCTTTATTTGTAGACTTTTGCAACCAGGTGTCATTAAAATCCATAGTGTTTTTTTTTTTGGCGTAAACCATGTCATTGTGAACATGTTTAGCCTCTGGATCACGTAATTTACTAATAAAAAGGTTAAATACCTGTAGTACTGTCTGTGATCCTGGAATTTAGGTCAGCGACCCAGGTTTCGAACCTAAAGGTTCATTTTCAAGCAGGTACCAGAGTTAAAAACACATAATCCTCTTCATAACTGTGGAGAGTCGTTATAACACACAAGACACGAACACGAAAATTGTAAGTTGTAGATTGCTGCTAGACGTTTCACCACTCAATTTCAGTGCATTTTCTGAGGTTAGACCCAGTCTTAGTCTAGCACTGAGGGCAAAACATCTGGCAGCAGCCACTGACAAAAAAATAGACCTCGAAACCACAATGAACTTAAATACCGGTATCCGAATA